TTGTCCGAACAGATGGGCTCAAGGGTCGGCGCGGGCGGCTACCATCAAAGCCGAAATCTCCGCAGGAGTCACCTCCCTCGCCACCGGTCAGTCTGATAACTGGCCTAGTTAGAGCGCACGTGGACACTTGCCCAGATATCCCCAACCTGGACTACAGCCAGGTGAGTGCTACTTGGGTCATCAGGGGCATCGATAGTAACATCAGTGTGGTGGTGACTGGCGTGTGTGAGTGCTTAATTATACCGGCCTCCGGGTTGTATGTGTGTGGGTGTGTGTGTGTGTGTGAGTTTGTGTGTATTTTGTGGGGGGAGGGGTGAAGTTTGTGGTATGTCTGAGTAAGTTTGAAGTTTAAAGTTTGATCAACGGACCAACATCATGGCATACGGGTTGTAACTCATAAGTGCTCCGTTCTTCTTCTGACTCAAAGTTTCAGTCCGAAGAAGCTCAGCACAGTGCACAGGTTCTGTAGCACCGGCGAGGATCCTCAAATACTTTAGCTAGATTTTAAACTCCGAATTGTGCCTGGGCAGCGCCGTTAAGCTACTCTTTTCGATTTCTAACTGGCAAAGGATTTTTTTGTACATGCACAACAATGCACACAGGCGTCCGATCCACTGACTAGAGGGAATTACTAGAAGTCCAAGAAATCCACGTGAAAAAAATCCCAGCCCTAACCGGGGATTGAACCCGGAACCTCCACCACACGAGGCGGACACTATGCCTCGAGACCACGCAGCCCCCCCCCCCCCCTTTCTGCCCCCTTTCCCATGTCTGAGTAAATGAGCTTGGTCCGAGGTTCGGCTCATTTGTGTACCAGATAGTGGGTATATGGGGGGGGGGGGGGGGGGGGGAACTCGCTAACAGAATATCGTGTCTAATTACAATAGTATTGTATATGAGGTAAATCGCCAATATAATATTTAACTGCAGTAGGTTGGTATGTGAGGTAACTCGCTAACATAATAGCATATCTAACTACACGATTGTAGTATGTGGGAAAGCCTGTTAAAAAAAATATATCTCATGACAAGAGAGTGTTAAGTGGTGTAACATGCTAACAAAATGTCATATCTTGTTACAAGAATGGAATGTAGGGTAACTCGTGAAGAGAATTTTATTTCTAATTACAAGAGTGTGGTATGTGGGGTAATTCGCTAATAGAATATCATATCGGTGCAAGATTTCGGCCATTGCAGATACAGCTGCAGGTCTGGCTAATTAGAAATAAATAACTCCCAGCAGTAATGTGGAAATTCAGAGCAGAACTGGTGGAAACAAAACTGGAATATGAAAACTTAGACCATTACTGGTAATAATTCAGAGCAGTATTTATAGAGAAAGATAGCGGCACTAATAGAAACTCAGAACAGCACTGGGTGTAGCTCTCTTATTAATTATTTTTTTGTCCCCCCACCCCACACTGTCGGTTCCGAGAATGATCCCACTGTCTCCTTAACAAGTGTGTCGTAGAAGACAAATTAGGATATTTTTTCACAATTGGAGTGAAGTCTGACCGAAAGGCAAGGCACCAACAGCCTGCACACAGTTAGGCCATATATGTAACACAGGTGCACACGCAAAACTCAGGTCCTTGAATAAAGACAAAGTCTAGAAATAGATGAACAATCAGGCCTTTCTGCCGGGGTTAACAGCCGGTGAACGCAAACAGGCAAACAAACAAGAACGTTCTTGTTTTTATATTTCTTATTATTTTGAACTCACACTCACACACACACACACGCGCGCGCACACACATGCACACACATATATGTATATATATATATATATATATATATATATATATATATATATATATATATGTATGTATGTATACACACACACATACATTTGTGCCATTCAGCACACAACGATAATACAACATTTTATTATTATTATAATACGCTTTAACAAGACATAAAGCTATTTAAGCTCTTTCCCTAGAAAATTACAAGCGGTGCTCGGTCCTCCCCCCTCCCGCACCACTCCTCCACACATCCCCCCCCCCCCCCCCCCCCCATCCCCACACACACATTTATCACCACTTACATCCACCGCCATCTTTGCAGTTTCAACTGTCCAAACCAGACGAGCCGGCGTGCCGTCACGAGGACAGTGTCAAAGTCTTCTACAACATCCTGCTACAGAGCATGGACGTGCTGCGGGCCTGGACAGAGAAGATCCCGGGCTTCACTGACCTACACAAGGATGACCAGGAACTGTTGTTTCAGTCCGCCTCATTGGAACTCTTTGTCCTTAAGGCCGCTTACAGGTACCGACATTGTGCTCGACATGATACAGTTTTATAAAAACTAATTTTTCCTTCATTGTTTGGTGGGGTGGTGACGATGGTTCTGTAATACTCTGTAAATTACAATTTATTGTAGAGGCTTGAAGGTAGCCAGATACGAGCTGGAAGTCACAGCGGCATTAGCACAAACAGAAGAAAAACGAAGAAGAAGAGAAAAAGAAGATGACCAAAAAAAAAAAAGAATATTAAAAAAGAAGAAGAAGAAAAAGAAGAAGAAGAATGAGATGATGATGATAATGATGATGATTTTTGTGATGGGAATAAAGAAGAAGTTGATGATGATAGTGATGGTGATGAAGAAGGAGGGAAAAAAAGAAATAGACGACAAAGACTATCAAGAAACAGAAGAAGAAGAAGAAGAAGAAGAAGAAGAAGAAGAAGAAGAAGAAGAAGAAGAAGAAGAAGAAGAAGAAGAAGAAAGAAAGAAGAAGAAAAGCATTTAAACGAGAATCATAGCCCACATATTGATACATATTATGACATGTGTGTTAGATGCCTTTATTTTGCTATATCCATCTAGACTGTGTGTCCTATTGTAGGATATATTGATGATATTTTTTTTCCCTCCTCGACTGCGAGTTCTTTCACTAGACACATTGAATATATAATTTATCTATGCCCAGCTCGACTTTAAGTCCTTTCACTAGACAAATTGATGAAATACTTTTTCTTTGCCCAACTCGACTTCGAATCCTTTCGCTTGACAAAATGATAATGTAGTTTTTGTTGACTCCACAGAGTACAGCCTAACGACGAGAAGATCATATTCGAGAACGGACAGGTGTTCCACAGACTTCAGTGCATGAAAACTTTCGGTCAGTGGATTAACTCAATCGTCGAATTTGGGCTCAGTCTCCACAGAATGGGACTGGATATCTCTTCGCTGGCTTGCATGAGTGCACTGGCAATGATTACATGTAAGTTGATGTTGAATACAGTAATTATTTGCTGCTTTACTGTTACGTTTATCCTTTCAAATGTATTATTGAAAAACAAATGCCAGAGGAAAATAAAATTGGATAGATTCGAGAGGGCGTCAAGAAATAAGTGAAATGACTAGGCAAAAAAAAAAAGTGTTGTTACAACATAAGAGATAAGTTGTTTACCTGCGGTAAACTCTGGTCGTCAATTTTGTTTGTTTGAGGGCCTATTCTCCATTTGGGGAATAACGGACAATAGGAGGAGGAAAAGAAGAAGAAGATGATGAAAAAGAATAAAAAGAAGAAAAAGAAGATGTAGAAGATGAAGAAGAAGAAGAAGAAGAAGAAGAAGAAGAAGAAGAAGAAGAAGAAGAAGAAGAAGAAGAAGATGTTGGCGCTAATGGTGATGATGATGAGTGAAGAAAGAGAGAAAAAAAGAAAATAAAGAAGGAAAAAAGGAAAGAAAGAAAGGAAAATAGATAGAAAGAAGACTTTGGTGAGTTTTCAAACGTATTCTCTAGACAGTGCTGACAGTTAGGCTTGCATGCACCAAAGCGTTCCCCGTTATGACCTGTGATCAAAGCAAATTCAATGGTCAACACAATACCTCTTTTTTCATTTCCTGTTCCTTTTTTTCCCTTTCAGTGAGACACGGCCTCAGAGAACCAGAGAAGATGGAGGAACTTCAGATGAAGATTATCGACTGTTTGAGAGATCACTGCACCTACAACAGCGAAGCCCAAAGAAAACCGCATTTCTTCTCTCGGATCCTCAGTAAAATCGCCGAGCTGCGCACTCTCAGTCGCGAGGGTCTCAACTGTATGACGGAAGTCGTTAAATTTGATGACGCAACTTCCGCTCCTGCAGTGATCCAGAATTATATCTCCAATCAGTTGCCTTTCTAAAACTGTATCAGCAGTTTTTAAAACTTTGTCGGTGTTCACTTGTTGCTGTCCCCGATTGATTGTCTGATCAGTCATTTGTATTTACTATAGTGTGTTGCACGTTCTTGCATCTTCCCCCAGGTGAGTAACTGTAACCACTTGTGACTTTGAGGTGGCATTTCAGTAAGTCTTTCTTAGAGGGTGCCTGGCATGTGCTGGTCAGTTTGTGTGGGTAATTTTATTGGTCAGTTCATGTTGGTGATTTCCTGTTAGACAGTTTGTTAGGGTCATTTTGTGGATCAGTTTTTTTTATGGTCAGTTTGTGTCGGTCAGCTTGTGTTGGTTAATTAATGTTGACAAGATAGTGAGAGTGAGTTTATGTTGGTCAATCGGTTAATGTGATTGTTGCGTGAGAAAGGTGCTGGTTGGGGAGTTGGTTGTTGAGTTGGCTGGTGTGTTGGATGGGTTGGTTTGTCTTGGGTGGTTTCGGAGATTAGTGGATTCGCTAGTTTAGCTGGCTGGTTACTGGCTAATTTCCATCCTATGCTCAGGTGGGTTTACACAGGTGTAAATTATCGTTGAAACTTATGATGAAAGTAACATTACACTCTTAGTATTATGCTTTATGTTGTAGGCAAGTCGGTTTCAAACTGATGGGATCCTACATGAGTGGGGGGGGGGGGGGGGGGGGAGGAGAACTAAAATATAACGCGCACGCACACACACACACACAACATCTGACAGTGATAAAACACAACACAACATATACATACACACGCAGACATTGTAAACAGTTGTTAAACGTTGGAATGAGCATTGTTATTTCTACTTTGGTAAACTTAAATTTGAAAGGATCAACATCATTGCACTGGGTTTTTATCCTGTTAAGCTCAGTTTCTCCTCCGAGTAATGGGTAGTCGCACAAAGCACACAATTTGCAGTCCCGGCGACTATTCCCAGGGACATCCATACATTTTCTCCCGGACTAGATACTATTTATGTAGTCCCAACGGCTATGCCAAGTGCAGCGAAAGCAAATGGGCTGGCTGTGTGTGTGTATGTGTGTGTGTGTGGGAGAGAGAGAGAGGAAAGGGGAGAAAATACTGTCGAAAATGCTACTGATAGTTGTAACTAGAAGAACATGTTAATCTAATCGCGTGTCCCACAATACGACGATGCCACTTGCATCCATGTTGATTGCTTTACTTTGCGACGCACCAGTACTTAACTCGTGTTGTTATATTGCAAATATGTATATGATCATTACATAATAATAAATAACAATTACATCTGTTGTGCTGACTTGCTTTGCCCCACAGAAAGTAAACGTATACTGTCACATGTAATTATTCTGTTTTATTTGTTAAGAAAGACACACAAAAAATTCACCCTAATTTCGGCTTAATGAACGAATAATTTTTCCCGAAATCTGCCACAAATTATCACCAGAACTCTGATAACGCTTTCAATGAAAATTTGATTATTTTTGTACTATGAATTGTTGATACATTTTTAAACTACCCACACTTTTTCAGCCCTGTTTGTTTAAATGTTGTCTTCAATTGTTCTCCCGTCACTGTGTTTATTCTTCAAACCCTAAACTGTGAATATATAAACCGGAACGCCAAAGGTTACGAAACGAGTAATATATATTTATCTTTATATAAGATTTATTCCTTAGAACTTTACGTCATTTAAAACAAAAATTAATTTATTCTTTGTACATTGCATTGTTTTTATATGTTGTTACTAAGCATACAGTTTTTTGTTTCTGGTTTGGTGTTACTTATTTATTTTCTTTACATAATATACTTTACTATTGTGCCAGCTTACTCACTTGTTTACCAATGAATTTATGCTAATTTTCTGTGTCAAAGTTTGCGTAGGTTAGATCACATGACGAGGACACGTAATTAATATACTGAATGTGAGATGCTAATAGAAAATAGTGATTTTGTTTCTTAAACCCCTTTTTTTGAATTGCTGTATATGTATATATTTTTTTTAATGTATTTAGTATTGGTCCGTAGATTTCATGGTCATGTTTTTAAGTTTATTTTGCCACCTGCCACAGCTGAAGTTTTGGTTTTAGGGTCAATTTGTAAATGTAGGTCACCTTCACTAAATCATGGTACCCCAGGCGTCTAGTATGAGTGCCTCCTATTCCCCCCCCCCCCATCTCCCTTTCGCAACCCCATCTTACTTCTGGGTAACTTGTGCGCCCCCCCCCCCCCATAGGCAAATTTATAAGAGAGCTAATTAGCCCCACTCCACCCTTTTTTTTCTCTCCAGAAGAATGTGTAAGAAAGCGATGTAACCCTCTCCCAACCTCCCACCCCCAACCCCCTCAATAAAAAATATGTAGGAGATCTAAGTAGAGCTTCTTCACCCCCCCCCCCCCCTTTCCCCCTCCCCCTCCCCACCCTATGCCAGACATTCCCCGCCAGACAAAAATTTATGAACTCTCAGCTATGTATAAGGACATAAATAGGTTACTGTTCTTAGATTATTGATGAATGAAGTTCAGCCACAGCAGGACTGCACAACAAGTTATAAACACCCAGTGACAAAAAGTGCCACCATTCGGATGAGAATCACACGGGTGCAAGTCCCAGAAACCTCGTTCAATGGTTAGATTATATTAGGAACCCTGACAACAGATGGAGTGGGTCTTTAAATGAATGAAATGTTATGTTTTGAAGTAGTGTTGTAGTAGTAGTACTTTTACCCCACTAGCACATCACACAAGCGATAAACCACCGATGACACAAAGTGCCACACTATGGATGAGGATCACCCGTGGAGAGGTCCCAGAAACCGCGTTCAGCCATTAGGCCATATTAATGGCTGGGCTATAATGAGGCCCCTGGCAAGAGCCAGGATAGGGCTTCAAAATAACGAAAAATTGCATTCTACAAGGGGATGACTAAAGTAATGTGAAGTTTTTGTAAGGTCACTGAATATGTTTCATCAAAAGTCAGTACAAAAGAAAATATATTATGATAAATCTAAACAGTAGCAAGTCATCATCACCATCATCATCATAAACCACTTCTGCCGTTAAGCGCCGTGAGGAGGAATAATTTGCGATCCAGTGCACGTTGGCTGCCACTGGCTATTGTCATGCCGTGAAGGCGTAGTGTCTTTAATGTTGTCGATCCATATTTTCCGCGGCCGTCCTCTTGCTCTTGTAGTTTGTCTTCTGAGATGTAGTGCTTGTGATGGTATTTGATCTTGCTGCATTCTAACGAGATGGCCAAACCACTTGATCTGCTGTTTCTCGATGAATCTAATACAATTATTCCCACAATTTGCCTGATAGTTTCATTATTCACTCGATCTCGTATGGTTAGGTTGGCTGATTTTCTCAGACACCTCTTCTCGCAGGTGGTTATTTTGCTTATATGGGCTTTAGATAGTGTCCATGTTTGGCACTGGTAGCTTAATGTTGGAATGAATATGCTATTAATAATCTGTCCCTTTGCACTCGTAGTTATGCTTGGATGTCTTAATAATGGTGACAATTGGTTTATAAGTGCATTTGCTTTCTGACATCTGGTTTATATATCTCTGTCAATTCTACCATCTTCTGTGATCATACTTCCTAGATATTTAAACCCCCTAACTTGATTCAGTGAAGAACCATTCAGCTTTATGATTAATGGGGCAGAATGTCTACTAACTTGCATTGTTTCGGTTTTGTTTACATTGATCTTCATGTTGTATTTACTAAATGCTGAGTTTAACCTGGTAATGTGGTCTCGCAGTCTATGTTCTTCAGGGTATAACAAGCACTGGTTATCAGTAAACTATTGTTTGTTGAATGTGGGTGAATCGATTACTTCTCCTAATGTGTGTACTTCCTCGTGATTATAAAGACAGTAGCAGGTAACTAGTGGAAAATGCAGGATATAAACTTGCAAAATGCAGTAAAATCCATATACAATTGATGGCTATGTGTGTTGTTTGCATGTTTATATGACGAAATATTATAAACTTGTATTGCAACGTGTTGCAAATACCATGTTCGTATCCTCCCGTTTTGTCGGTATATTTTCTCTCCCTTTGATGACATGCAAAGTTGATATAATTGTTATTTCCCTTTGCACTATTCGTAGAAATTCGTATTCGAAAAAATAAAATTACAAAAAATATATATAAATCTATTATAACACATGAAATAATTTATCCATTATACTTGTTACCACTGTATTCATTCATAAATTTGTTTTTAACTTTGTGCCTCCTTCGCAAACCCTGTCTTTAAACCCATTCCCTACACGCCTTTTCTCAACACAGAGCACACGGTGGAGCGTTGGACAACATGCATATATTTCCCTGTACAAATACGATGTTTTACAAATTCGCTTTTCTACCCTATTTTTGTATATATGCTTGATGAACAGAAAGATAAACTGGATCCAAATCCCAAACCCCCTGGAATGTTCTAAAGAAATGTGTTTAATAAACTTACTTCTGTATCGTGTTTCTTTTTTGTTCACGCATGTTTTCTCTTGCTGTTTGTACAGTTTGGTGTGCAGTTGCAGCTGTTTTGCTGCATTATTGAAAGTAAGTAAAAAAAAGAAAACAAAAATTCAGGCTATTCTAAATGTAACTAAATATAAGAGACATGATCAGAAATTACGATATTACGAAAGATGTTAAAATACATAAAGAGACAATAGATCAAATGGGTTGGACATGTATAAAGACTTCACCAGAAAGTGCAAAACAGAGACCCATGTCACTTACGCATAATGAGAGCAATATGAATGTCGGCAAGAGCCCTTGCTCTTCCTGTACCTGCCATCAAGCCAATCCTCTCCTTCATTTCCTCTTATCCTAGAGTGTCCTGGCATAAAAAAGTAAAAGTCTCTTTTCCACCCTTAGGTGTAGTAGGTATATAGGGCTAGACCTATATTTTTATATACCAATTGGCATGAAATGGGTGATATGGTCAACATCACGCAGGCCACCTTAACTTCCCGGGACTGCACCCGATACCCACCCAAGGCTGGGTT